TGTGTAGGAACTAAAAAAAGAATAACTTGCCAATTTTAATTTTACTATATATTCCCTCCATTGAAAAAAAGTCATGTTTCAACTTTCAAGAACTTTTTTTTATATCCCTAAAAAAAGAGTAGCTTTTTTTATATCCCTAAAAAAAGAGTAGCTTTTTATATCCCTCCATTGAACTTTTTTTTTTATATATATATTATATGCCAATGTTTTAGTAATGGTCTAAATTATTGGAGTAGAATAGTTAATGCCCAATTCACTCCCTTGGTCGTTGTCTCGTTGACTTTCATGTGGACTCGATTTGGTCCTTAATTATGCAATTTCAACCCAATTTAGTCCTGCACATTTCACTCTAATTACTAAGAGTAGTTTTGTCAAATAATGACTGAATTAAATCCAAAATTTATAGCCGAGTACAGTCTTGAGTCCTAAACTGCGTCTATACATTCTGAACTGACAAAAGGTACCACACTAATTTGGAGTCAAATATGTGTGAAGACTAAATGGCATAGATAGTTAACAATTGAGTCTTAAGTGAAAGTCTAAGGACAAATTGAGTACCAATATACAGTCAATGGGATAAACCAGGTATTAGCTATTATTGGAACTACATGTTTTTTTCATTTTTAAATCATTATTCTGTGTATTGGGTAGCAATGTATACCAGTTTTCTCTGGTGTTGCAACACATCTCACAATCCCAGTAGTTGTCCGCACTAGAGACAATTGTTGAGCCCTGAAAGAGATTGAATTATTGAGCTTTATCACTATAAAAATTTGTTCTTCAAGAAACTTATACAAGTGATACAACTGTCACAGAATTTAATTGATGAAACTCAATACTCATTACATAAATGAACAATGTATTCGAAATGAATACCTTAACTTGAGCTTGTTCTGGCTTAGGAAGGCAGATGATGAAGAAGCTACTGAAGGACAGAGATTAGGATGAATCAAAGCCATTTCTCAAAGGCTAGAGAACAAAACTGCAATTTTCAGTCTTTGACCAATCCTGGACACAATATAAAGTCGTAAGGCTTCATTTAGGGTAGAACAGTGCACGAAGTCCAAACGTGCATGACTGTCCACCGCGAAAGAGAGACGGAACATTTTCAACATAGAACCACAGACCCAAAACTTAATGTAATAAACTATGTGAACAAACGTATAAAAATTGCAAGGGAAAAAAATAACAAAAAAAAGAGCTCAATAGGAGAAAGAGCTCAAAATAACATTGAAAGAATAAAAAAGTATAATTTTTGGAAAAAAAACAAGTAGCATCTAGGTAGTTTACTTGCTACTCGGTAGCTACTCGGTCAAGGGCCGAGTAGCGAGTAGGACCGATTACTCGGGATTAGTCGGTGATTACTCGGCCTTGTACTAATTAAATTAATTAAATATAATAATATAGGTGCCGGAGATTATAGAAATACAGTAGTCTTAAAATAGTCTTTAAATTGTCTTAAAATGCATAGAAGTGAATAAAAGAATAGAAATCCTATTATCCTAATGATGGAGTAGCAAAAGTCATAAAGCGAAAGTGATAAAGCAGTCAATCATCTAATAAGTTGGTTTGGTATTAATCTTCATTGGGTTCAAGGTCGTGATTTTCTTCTTCATCCTCCATGTCCCCAAATAGATCTTCTCCAAATACTATTAAGACTATTAAATATAAGTAATTAGTAATACATTGACTTAGAGTTCAAACTCTGGTTAATGCTATTATTAGATTAAAATATGGTTTTGAGTTTCTGTGATCTTGATTGCACTAAACTGCCATATATGCAGATTCTAAGTTTATTCTTGATTGCACAAACAAATTAAACAAACTTCTGTCTTTTGAAAATAGCACAAACTTCTGTCTTTTGCAAACCCCAAAATAAATTCATTAAGTTATAATACATTCATGCCCAGGATAAAATTTAGCAGTAATTGAGTATGACAAAATCTTTAAACTTCTGGGGACTAGGATACATGCCCTGATGCCCTTACTCCTATATACATGCCTTTCAAGCTTCTGGGATAAGATTGTTATTCAATACAAAATGTGAGTATGACATTTGATACAAATTGAGTAAGTGGTTAGATAAGTAGATTCAGCACCATTAGAGGCCTGACCAGACTGAGTAGAGTTCATGACTGTAAATTAAAAAATGTTTGTGAGTGTGTATTTATCATTAAAAGACAGTAGGGGGACTGGGCAGAATAAGAAACCAGACAGGCAGACAGGGGAGGAGATTCAGGGGAATATACGAAGCTCCAAATATCATGATTCATGAGGGAGAATAAGAAACCAGACAGGGGATAATCTCAATTTATTTTTTTTAAACAAGAGGGAAGAAGAAGAGGGAAAGAACTTACCTGTTCACGTCACAATAGCAGCTCCTCGCAGCAGCCCTGTAGCACTCGCAGGTCCTCCGGTCCTCCCAGTAGCAGTCGCAAGTTTAGTAGTAGAGGTTGCAGGTCCCGGCAGTAGCAATCGCAGCTACAGGGAGTGGAATAGCAGCTTTGGTATGCGCAGGGTTTTGGGGCGAAGCTCCAAGCGATTAAAATTTTGACGAGTTCGGCTAAAAAAATTGCTCAGCAAGCGTTTAAAAATACTGCGAAACATAGTCAGTATCATTGGCGTTTAACAAACTTAGGGTTCGCCTCTCACGAATTTCACTAATCCTGGAAAACATCCAATTGCCCCTAAATCGACTATGGCAACTCGTTATTACTCAGCAAATAGGCGAGTTACTCGCTATTGCTGGGTACTTATAAAAAAAATTGAGCTTACGAAAACCTAAAAAATTATAGGTTTTCGTAAGCGCAGTTTTTTTATGTACTGAGTAATAACGAGTAACTCGCTCATTTGACTGACTCACCGAGCAGCCTAACTCACCGAGTACTTGCCGAGTAACTCGGAATATTAACTGTGGCTGATTTAAGGTGCTACTCTGCAAGGTCATAGGCCGAGTAGAGAGTACTCGCCGACTGATATCACAGGAAAGAAGTGGAACAGAGAGAGACTGACTAATATTTTAATGAAGAAGATAGGAGGAAGATTTTGAGTATCCCTATTAGTTCTTATGACAGGAGGGGTGGTTTTTGGTGGAATGGGGAGAATATCAGTGTTTTTTTTTGTCAAGAGCTGTTACTGGCTACTTACAGGGGAGCTACAGACTGGAGATGAGACTAACTGGGCGTGGCTATGAGATTCGTATATTCCGCCGAAACTTAAATTTTTTGCTTGACAGGTTATTGAAGGCTCTCTCCCTACGGTTGATAATCTGCTAAAAAATGAGTACAGGTACACGAAGGGTGCAAGGTTTGTGGGGATGATAACGAAACGACAGATCATGCGTTTCGATTGTGTGTTCAAGAAAAAGGAGGTCTGGACGCAGGTGGGCGTCGATCTGGGACAACCGGTGGACTCTGTGGCTACATGGATATGGCAGCAACTGGGAGGAACAAACGAGAAAGATCAATGCAGATTTATTTCTATTTTGTGGAGCCTCTGGAAGAAAAGGAATGGATGTGTCTGGAAGGATAGGTGGCAAGGGACTGCGGGAATAATTTCAAGTTGGAGAGATGCTCAGGACAAGAAGGAAAGAAGCTAGTTCCTTGACAGTATGGAAACGACCACAGCATGGCTATGTCAAGATTAATGTGGATGGGGCAGTGGACGAGGATAAAAATATTCGGACTTGGGGGTGGGTTGCATGAGACTAGGCCTGTCAATGGGTCGGGTCTAGACCCGGACCCGACCCGGACCCGGTTGTTTTTAACGGGTATGGGTCCTTATTTTATTCCGTTTACCTGGGCCCGAACCCGGACCCGTTAGTACTTTTAATGAACGGGTCAGGTGTGGTACAAACTAATATACGAGTATATAAAGTGACTAGTAGTACAAATTAATACATACCCAATGTTTAAGTGATAATATAATAGTATATAATATGCTTTTAGTCCAACAGAACATTTTGTGACCTAATTTCTAGTCTAATATATGAGTTTTCTGTGGGAGAGAAAGAGACACAAAGTGCGATCTTTTTAGACACAAAGTCCTAACATTTTGTGCACTTTAATTTACATTTCATATACATGTTTTGCTATTTTTAAAAAATTATATAATGTTGTGCATATGATACTTGGCGGGTCTACCCGACCCGGTTCCGAGACCCGTTGGGTCCGGGTACGGGTCCAAATTTTTAGACCCGCCGGGTAAACGGGTCAATTCCGGGTCATTTGTTTACTTAGCGGGTCCGGGTCTGGAATACTATGTTCCGGCCCGGACCCGACCCATTGACAGGTCTACACGAGACCACCATGGAAATTTCATTAAAGCAAAAGGGGCTTCGAACTAGCTAATTGGTCAGTGGCGGAAACGGAGGCGGTGGGTGTTTGGGATGCATTGTTTGGGGCGGTCGAGGCAGATCACACTTGGAGATTGAGAGTGATGCTCTCTCAATGGTCCAGGGGCTCAAAAATGAGGGAGGATCCTCTTACCTTTTCCTTCTCCTTGAAGATATGAACCTTTAAAAAGAAAGAGTAACTTTATTGTCTCTTTTTGTAAGCGATCTGTGAATCATGTTGTCCATGCTTTAGCAAGAGCACATGTTGTTATCTCAGATAAGTCCTTTTGTTATGATCTTGTTCCTGACTCTATTGTAAACCTTCTGGCACACGATTTGGTGAATTAATGTATAAGTTGGAGTAAAAAAAAGGTTTAAATATGTTTTTAGTCCTTGCAAATATAGCATACTTTGTTTTAGGCTCCTGCAAAATATTTCTTTTTTTTCATCCCTGAAATTTATATTGATATTCATTTTAGTCCATGACTACTGACAACAACCTCCGTTTTACAACGAAATAATCCCGACTAAGAGGTATTCTTTAATTCTTTGTCATGCAATAAAAAAATATTTAATTTCATCTTTTAAAAGGTTTTTATTACATATTTTAAAAATGCAAATAATTAGTTTTAATATTGTTATAACTCTCTTATTAGCCTCGAAAAATTTATAAACTGATAAATTTAAATGTTTCCAATAGATGTATGGAACTGATAATAAAAAAAGTTCTAAGTACAGTTGTTTCGGAGTTAGAGATGGACTAAAATCAAAGTAGCGCATAATCCGCATATTACAGGGATGAAAAACAAAGAAAATATCTTGCAGGGACCTAAAACAAAGTGTATCATATTTGCAAGGACTAAAACCATATTTAAACCTATAAAAAACTCCCTAATAGAAAAAAAACCCATCTCTTGTATCTCACGTAATTTCCCCAAAAAGAAGATAACCTCAACCGTCCGAGTACACCAGGGTCACCAGTACATGATATAGACAAATAGCTGATGATATGAACATGCCTTCAAGAAACTTGAATACACCATATTTCTGATTCAAATACAGTGTATACATGTTTGGGAACTGAAACTGATCATGCCCAACCACAAAGAACAATTCCCTTGCAGAAACAAAAATTCTCAGGCACATATGCTCAACCATTTATCTCATTATTTCTTGCATTTTATACAAAATATAATCCTTTAATGTCAAGATTCATCCACCTGGTGATCTGTCTCGTCATAGATCTCCTCCTATACAACACAATATCAAGAATCAGATCAACATATGGGACAGTAATTCAATTGTTCTGCAATATCAGAGGTACTGTTAAAAGCTACCTGTAAAAGTTCTTCAATAACATCTTCCATAGTGATTATTCCGACTACCTCTTCTTCTTCGGGGAGTTTCGGTAACGGATTCCCATCCATTGGCAGGATGTCTGCATACATGTCCTTCATCCACTTCTTGCTTCGTGTGCTCTTATATGAATTACTCCCACTGTTGGGGAAACTCTTCCATTTCTTTAGTGCTTGTTTCATCTTCAGGCTCTTTTGTGAAGGAATCTTCTCACCATCAATGTCAACCTTCACATCTGCTACACAAAAGCTAGTATAGTTAATGACATATTTACTTCAGTGACTGAGAAAACTCACTACTTTACTATTTCACACGCACTGGGCAATGTTTCGAAGAGACATTTCCAACCTCATGCAGCATTTACTCAAAACTTATTTCAACTTGACAAAATTTTGTGTTATGCAGCAGAGGTTGTTGGGGTCGGTTTTGGGACTTAAAAGTTAGCATCTCAGCTATTTTCGAGTTCGAATGTAGGACTCCAGTGCCCTTACCCACCCCATGGCAAACTGGGGTCTAGCGCCTCAGGCAGCGATCATAAACGAAATAGGGAATGGGAGAAGACAGGGGAAGGTTTTCAGTATGTGGAAATGAATATGGAGACTTCGAGAGCAAAAGAAGCACTTGCCGTTGGGTGGGGGTACAGTAGTCGTTTGTGCTGTCTGGTTGTTGCACTGACGTACAACAACTGCCATGTGACTATGACCCTTCTGAAACTCGTTCAAGATGTCATCTAATGGCATAGTTTCCAGAACCCTAAGGTATCACGGAGCATATAATTAGCATAGACATCAAACAGAAACCATTTCAACTTCAGAAAGAATAGACAACACTTCAGCAATCCTTATCCATGAACTATTTTTGCATGCAGACAACAAAAAATGAAAATTTCAGAATCCCAAATTAAGAGAAACACAGTAGGTGTCACTCATTAGAGGTTATTACACCTTCCAATTAGAGCACCCATTGTAGGTGAGATTTCTTTCTTCAATCAAGGGATTTTTACAGACCTTGAAAGTATGATTGAGAATGGTTAATGCTTAAGCACTGGACAACTATACAACACCGTAATCTCAAAGCAAGATGAAAAAGATTTACCGTGGAATCCTTCTAATAGTAACATTTTTCACAGGAACTCTATCTTCTGTATGAATGGTCAGCAAATTTTTTACCTACAACGTTATAAGATAAGCAGAAATTTATGAGATTAGTATCAATACATATTCAATTGAAGTAAACTTGGCTAGTCATGGGGATTATGTAGAGTGCATGTGTGAGCATATACCCAGTTCAAGCAAGAAACAATTTTAAGAAGACCATGCCTGGGAAAAAAAGCCTATAGGGTATTTTTCCAATCCCCGAAAATGTTAGAGGAAGGAAAGAAATGCTGAGAAATGTGGCTATCTTATGTTTGGATTTCTATCTTGGAGAACTAACACAAATGAAATATAATACTCTATATTTTTAGATTTTAAGTATGTTCGCTTGTTTAGTATTCATAGAATTGACAAAAAAAGATAATGAGTATCAACATGGTTTCTTCCTGTCACATTTTCATTAATGACTTCGTATTTCAATAGTAGTATCTACGTTCCAAATGGACCCTCTAGAAATGAAACAACCACAAAGATAAGTGGTGGAAGCATAGAGCCATAATTTTATGATCCCAATAAAATTTTAGCCTTCTAGGGTGGCAGCTATCCTTGAAAGTTCGGATTATAACATCAAAATGCGTCACCAAGTTTTAGTATATAGCAAGTGCACAATTCTCATAGCTATTAGTTGGAATGTAACTTCATCTAAGCCACTTTCAATATGTTACGTCAGTTAACACAAACGGGATAAGATCTCTTCGTGATTCTCTGTCCAGTGGGTGAGAAGTGGAATATGTAAAATCCAGAGCAAAATGGATTTCCCAAGGTCTCTAACAGATGTCCCAAAATACATCAATGCACATAGCAATTCTTGAGTATTGCAAATGAGGATGCTGTGAAGTACCAGAACAAGTCCTATAATGTTTGTCGGCTGCTCATAGTACACTGGAATTCTGCTATGTCCCTTCTCCAAAATTAAATTCATCATATCCCTGCCATAATAAAAGTAGAAAAAGCCCTAGATAAGTAAAAAGTCCAACAAATTTGGCATAATGACGTCTCTCAAAGTGCACACTACCGGTCCAGGGTCGCATTAATATCTATTGCAAAGGTTTCAGATATAGGGGTCATGGAATCTCTTGCTGTTTTCTCGTGAAGCTCAAGAGCCCCAGCAATTATTGTCGTCTCGTCATGTGTGAGCTCTCCACCTTTACCTGCCTGCACCAAGATAGGAAATACAGGAAAGAACTCAGAGCCTTTGCTAAGAACAATGGATTCCTAAAGTTGAATTCATATTTTAATGTTTCAATTCACAAAAATCGAATGAAAAAAGAGAAGGGGAACAATGGCATAATCATATCATTTAGGTAACAACATATCACAGGACACACACTAACTGCATACCTCATTTCCGTGCAAGTTAACCAGAGTTTTCAGTTCAGCTCGCCGGAAAAGTGCTTTATTCTCGTGACCTAGCAGGAAGTCCAACAGCTGAAAACCATGTGAAAAGAGTCACTAACTTGAAACATCAATAGATTAAATGGCCCATCATAAGTTCAAACTTCAAGTCTTCAAGAAAAATTTAAACCAGACGCTGCCGATTGTCTAAAAGAAATATAGAAATATGAATTGACACTGAGTTTCTAGAAATATTTAAGAACTTTGAAGCACATCCAAGGATTTGATTTGAACTCCATGCAAATATCAAGGGAAAAGTAGACTAGTTTATCCCCTTTCGGGAATCGCTATTGTGATGTTTAAGCACTAAGCAACTTTACCAACAACAGTGGACAAATATGTTTACCTTGCTGATAGGATATGCAATAGGAAAGCATATCCAGACAAGAATGCGGACAATGGGTGCTGTAAAAGCCCCTATTGCTAATCCATATCTTGAGCACACTGACTGTGGTATGATCTGTGCATAAGTTGCAAATATCAATCCATCTACATAAATACATCATTATTATTCTTTCATCTTGCAGTAGATATTCTCGAGCATTAAATTTTTACCTCACCGAACAAGAGAATCAATGTGACAGATATAAGGATAGCACCCCAAGCTGTTACTAGACTGTCAAGGAATATTGGAAGTGTCTGAAAAGAAAATGGGAGTTTTTTTCAACTTTCAATATCACATAAACAGCAGAAAGTTGGTTTTCTTTGAGAAAGAATGATCAAAATATAACTGTTGGAGTTTCATTGGACACAAATTTGACTACTTTTAAATTTCAAATCAAGTGGCTAAATCATATGATTATCTCAAACCCTAAAGCTATCCACATCATTTTTTCTCTCCTCCACCCACTTCCAGATTGCCACTGCCGCCTAAACCAGCCGTTTCAGGAGATTTTTCCTGAAAAGTTGCTAGAAAATCCGCAAGAGAACTTTCCCGGGAGAAGTCGCAGGAAAAGCGTTCAACAGCGATAATAACATGTAGGGAGGTGTCAAGGGTGGTGATATATTACTAAAGGTGACACACTTAGTCCCTTCTTTTATATTTTTAAAAATTAGATCCATTAAAACCCTTTTCTTTAATAAGAAGTTAAGAACTATCCATTATCTATTTGTATGTACCTCCATGGCTGCAGCATTGCAAATGAGGAGTGTGCACAGCAACAAGTGTTGATTTTTTACTACTGGTAATATTTTTGCTGACATCACAAGTGAAAATAAGATTTGAATAAACAACGAAAAAATGCATAGATGAAATACAAAAATAGAGAGTACACAGAGAGCAATACTAACACAACTGTGAAAGATAACATCTAGTTTTACACATTACTATCTTTCCTTATAGCTTCAAATGCTGTGATGTCTCAGTGAACATCTTAATATCTTAAATTCACCTCAATCCAAATGGTGAGCGAAGTCTCTTTGTAGTATTCACATTCTGAAACAAACTAAATTAGTGAATAGAATAAAACAAAATGCTCAACCGCTACAAAACACAGAGGGTGGCTACTAATGTTCTACATCTCCTTATTGAAGTTTCAAGTTGGAACTTCCAACAAATAGTCGAAATACCAAATCCTACCATTACTGAATAGTGCAAAAGCATCTGCACTAGATTCATACACCTTTACCTCATCCCTATTCCCTACCATCAACTACAGACTGCCACATAGTTGACAAAGAGCAGTCTAAAGAAGTCCCTAACTTATGCCACTTAGCTTCAACAACCACCTGTAGTAACACTTCTGTTTCTAATGAAATATTATGTATCCAATTTAATTAGATTCATAATACCTTACTGTTAAGTACGTAGTATAACAAATAACCAATATCAACCAGAAAATCAAGTTACCAGAAATATATTCAGAGCATAAGGATGTTATACCGGCATATTTACGATCTTGGAGAGTTCCAGACTTGGCAATAACTTCAAGATCAACCAGGCTGAGAGACATAAGCCCCAGCGTGAGTCCAGACATCATACCGGCGAAAGCAACCAGAAGAACGATTAAAAGGATGTGAATGAAGAACTGCGTTTCGCAACATTGGTACTCCACGGCCATTAAAAAAACGAGAATCACTCCTTAATAGAGCTCTTAGAGTAAATTCGATGCTAGAGAATCGATGACTCGTAGCCTATTGCCTCCATTTCTCAACTTCCCAAGACGAAAAGAACGAAACTGCAAAGAATTTCACTTATAAAGGCCAGCAAACAGAAGCAACAGGCGCGAAATTACATGAATATGTAATCCCAAAAAAAGATCGCTCAGGAAGTTGAAACCTTAAGATGGATGAAGACGACTGAAGTTTTGTATAGGCAGGTGATTCACCGAGATTAGAGACAGCACTTTTTTAGTATTTGTTCCTTAACTTCCCCGCTTCTGCAAGCATTATTTTTGAAAGCTGGTAGAAGGAAAATGGCTGGCACTCTTCTTCGTATATTCTTCAACAAGCCTCTAGTAAGCTAGAAACCGACTTTAAGAAGGTAGTTGAAGTCAAAGCTTCTTGGGCCTAATGTTATGGTCCTTTTGTCAGGATAGCCCAGTTGAAAAGAGTTACCGACTATCCTTATTTTTCACAAATTTTAATGCTTTTTCTTTTGGACTAAAATTTGTTAGTCTCTGTGTATTTTATAACTACAGAAGTCAAGTCTGGTTTGGTCTGGTCTGATCTGATCTGGTGTGGACTGAAAACAGTCCAAAAGAAAAAATCATCGATTGTTTTCACTAGAATAGGTTGAATTTAGAGTATAATAAATTAGACTAGACTAAAATAGATTAAAGAATAAATAAATTAGATCAAACGTACAATATATGATACAGAGTAGTAAACAATCCCGACATTATAAAATTAAAATGTCACAATAAGGTTTGACACAATATTTAAAGAAAAAGTGATCACTACAAAAATATTACGAGATTGATACGAATTTGTTGATGATTTCGTGCAAAATGACTCGAGCCAAAGTGCTTTTGGTACGAATTTGACATATAATAATAGATAATGTGGGAAAGTATGAAAGCAAAAAAATTTAGAACAAATAATAGTAATTGACGTGTACTTTCTTTGTTTTTGTTAAGTCTTGCATTTAAGCGTAGTCAACAATTCAATAAAGAAAGAGTATTTTTATGAAAGTGTTTTTACTTTTTAGTAAAGAATAATTCTATAAGAGTTTTACATTTTAAATGGTTTCATACTAATAAATATTATTGCTACAATTTGAACAATATTGATCAAAGAAAAGTAAATAATATTATCAAATTTTATGAGATGGAGGGAGTATATAATTCATAGTGTTTTTACATAATTCAATCGATGTACTATATATTTACATTTTCATCAAATTATTTTCGCTAGGCAACGTCCTATAATGTAAATGTATTCATGGATTCATCATATACACTGCACGTAGTATATACGGAGTATATAACTAAAAGATAAAGATGTAAAATAGAATTAAATAAGTCCAACCAATTCAATTAGTGTATTATTTTTGTACATAGAAGACAAAACACGTGTACCAACCAACAGTGATGAGGTGCTCGACGAGAGAGCCTGAGACTGACAGCAAGCTTCACGCAAATACTCTAAATATATTGATAAGGAAAATGATGTTTGTATCCACTTTTATACCCACTTTTGTACTCACTCATGTTTGTGAAGTTCTTTTAGTATAAATCTTTACTATTTATAGAATATAGATGGATGCAGTTTTTGCATGGGTATGATATGCTTTAGCATCAAAATGTCAGCATCCGAACAGACCGTTCGTTGTGAATTTTAAAAATAATACGGAGTAGATAATACGGAGTATTACGAGCCCGTTTGGCAACACTAAAATTGAGTCAATTGGTTAATTCTACTGAAATTTATGAAGTTCTGGCTGAAGTGGCTGTATTGGTTGATTCCGCTAATTCATTAAAAAATTATATTTAAAATATTTGTTATTAATAAATTAAATAAGCTATTATATGAAAAAATAGCTAAAATGATCCTCTACAGTAACTTCAACCAATACATCCAGAAAAGTAACTCCAACCCTACTTTTTCTGTTTATTACAAAATTCAGCGCGTGAAATCAAAAGTTACGTGTTTGGTGAAAAAGCTGGTTGATAAGTCTGATAAGCCGAAAAAAGAGGTCACCAAACGGGCTCTACATTACTAATTAGTAATTACTACGTAACCAAACATCCTAGCCTAGCGGATTGTGAAGTTTCCGGTGCATATGTGAGGTCTCATGTTCAAAACCCGCTATGCATCAAGGGAAGATGAGGGGAGCACAAACACCAACATCTGGATCATAAAAAAATAGATAGTACTACGTATTAGAAATGTCTATGCAATACCCGATTTGTTTAGTACTTTAGTGATCTATGGCGGACCCATAAAATCATAGTCTAATACTCTAATTAATACTCCGTATAAAATTAATAAAAACAGAAGTAAAATGTTAAAGTAGTGTGACATTTTATAATTAACTTACATCCCGAGGTTGAAATGACCATTTCTGAAGATAGCTATGGCGCACATCGTCTTAAACATTAGAATGAAAATAAGCAATTTTTTTCTTAATCCAGAATCAGCTTCCAAATATTCAAAATCAACATGTTGGTCATACAGATTATCAGTCAAATTAATTTCAAATTCATCTATTATTTGATCCAATTCTTCATTTAGTAATGACGAATCATTTGAATTAACATCAGAGTTATTCCCAGTACTCCAAATTTCTTTAAATCTAAGTAGACTATCGAAATATCTTTTCATCCTAAATCGTAAAATATTAAAAAAAAACATTCACAAATATCATAAATTTTAGGATGGAACCGTTTGAAAAATATTATCAAAACTTAATAACGGTTCTTATAAATTTTTTTTATAGAACCGATATGGAACCGAACCATTCTTAACGGTTCGGTTATTGTCATTTAACATTCTTAATGGTTCGGGTCTTGTAATTTTGCTCCAAAAAAAACATTCAACGTTTGAAATGACAAGAAATACAAATACATTTATCATCATTTCAAACCTCAAAAGTTGATTTTAAAACATAAATAAATATCAAACTACAAATTTAGTAAATGAAACAAAACAACGTATTCACTACAATCAATGATTATGATCTTAAATCAGCAACGTAAATAGTTAGCAAAAAAGTTCATTCATCTCAAATGGTCATGAGCAGAACACTCAATCCCGACCATCCGGGCCTACTAGCCTCTAAGGAACCCGTAAAAATAAATAATAATGTTAAATATATATTTAAATAACGAAACTAAAATAGTCAATGTAATATAAAAATAAATAAGTAAATATACATTAAAATATATAATAAATATAACAAGAAATATATAAAATTTAAATTACTATATACTTATAACGGTTCCTTAACGAATAGAAAAACATAGATTGATTCCTAATTTAGTATGTTTTAATTGAAATGCTTTCAATCTCAAAAGGGACTTAGCCAAATCAAACCAAATTAGATCAGACTTTGGTAGTTGTGAAATATACACAGAACAGATCGACATCTACCAGATCAGATCAGTTCAGATCAAATCAGATAAAATTAGACTGAAACAACCTGAATAAGACAAGATAAGAAAATTACAGTCCAATTAAAAACATTTTAAGATGAATAGAAACTGATGAATAGGACAACAATCCCTACCATCAAGGTACGGACACTTAGTCAAGGCCGAAATCACTAATCGTGACCCAACATTTCACCAAGGGGCCCATTCTTCTTGGGCCAAGCTCCACCAGCGAGTGGGTATAATAGGGTCACTAATGGACTGAGTCCAAGACTTAATAGATTTAGTGTAAAAATACATTTTGCCAGGATAATCTAGGCCGATGCGGTGTCCTTTGGCCGATGCGGTCCCCTGGCCGATGCGATCCCCGACCGATGGGGGGGGGCACTTTGTCTTCGGGCAGTATTCCTCGCAGTTCTTGTTCTGGCCTTTGCAGGACTCACCTGGCCGAAGGACGCCACGTGGATGTTTCTCCTCGGTGTCTTTGACCTTCTAAGTATGTGGGTCATGGGGTTTGAGCCCATATACTCTATCAAGTATAGTAGTGCAAAATATTTTTATACTTTGTACTTTTGTAGTAAACTTATAATTTTTCAATACCACATTAAATTCAATATCATATCTATAAAGACACTAGATTTTCTTGGTGTAGTTATTTTGAAGAATATGATGGGGGTGTTTGGAACTGCTTCTGCTTCTGCTTCTTTTTTAAAGCAGAAGCAGAATCTTTTTTAAAGTAATTCTGGGAGTAAATTAGAGCCCCAGAAGTGCTTCTGGAATTTCACCCAAACACTCTAGCTTCTGCTTCTGCTCCCTGAAGGAGCAGAATCAGTTTTAAGAATCAGATCCAAACACCCCCTATATCTATAACAACACTATATTATGGAGCAGTATTGAAGACATTTGGCTTAGAGTATTTAATACAGAGTATAAAAAAAGTACATTGAAAATTGGGATAGTAATAAATTTAGAGAGAAGCAGTATATTATAATTCTGCCCCCTACCCTCGCATCCTGGCTCCGCCCCTGATCACCATGTATATTTATTACCGGTTTAGATACAATGGTTCCTACCCAAGTCTTAATTTTATATAAATGACACCTTCCACATGCAGAAAAGTGGTCCTCAATCATCTTGTATTGTTGTTCTTCCAAATCTAATACACTTTCTCACTCTAATTTTCTGTCTAACCTCTCTCTAGATCTACTCGACCCGCGGGTGCCTATACCCATCTATGTGAATATGAACAGAGGAGGAAAACATAGGAGGTAATTGATACTTTCTTTAACCAATTCAAGCACTACTTTCTTTTCTTGAGGCCTGAACAAGTTTTTATAAATCAGATTCCCAACTTCGGATAACGAGCTTTACTCCCAAAACCCACCCCTTCAGAGGTTGAAATCTCGAGTCCCTCAACTTGTTCTCCAGATTCCCAACATCATATATCTATTCTGTGCACAAGGGACCCCCCACAGATCAAGTATGTCCCAAGATTCTCTACATATATCTAAAAGACTTGTCACTAATTGATCGACACCTCTACGATCCAAACCAATTCTAACTTCCACATTACCAATTGATATGACATTGAACATTGATTAATCGATTTGCTGAGCTAAGCACTGAGAGCTAGGTCACCAATTGAGAAAAATACATATTTTGTCTCAACATGATGACTCAAATTCAAGACCCAGCTGAACCATCTATCATGTCTATTATTTTTAGAAGTGTCTTGTGTGACTTTTTGGGAGCCTCCTCTATTGATCCACTTATCATCCCATTTGCATCACATTTAACAAGTAACTATCAACCCATTTAGAAAAGAATTACCAAATACTCTTCTTTTTCAGTTTCAACAAATCCAACCTCTTAATGATCAATCAAAACTCCATTTTTGAACGTGGAAGGTTTACTTCTATGGGAGACTTT